ATGGGGAGTGACTGCTAATTGGGGACGGGGTTCCCATTTGGGGAGATGAAAATATTTTGCAACTACAGGTGATGGCTGCCACTGACTTGTGCACTTTAATTGGTTACCTTTATCTTATGTGAATTTCATCTCAAAAACCCACATGAATGTTATATTCTATTTCATAATACGTGTTTGCTTTAACGAACATTTATTTTCAATTGTAACTGTCCTCCTCTCTGACCCCAGTTCTCTTTCTACCCCAGAGAGAGCTCTGGGGAGTGGAGTGGGAGGTGGGGGGCCCAGATCGTAGGCGTAGAAATGACGAAGGCGGCTGGTTGCCTGGAGAGTCCTGGTGACCCTTCGCCTGGCCTGAGCGCTCAGTGTGGGAACTGGCCTTGGAGCTCGGGGAGCTTTCAAGGGCTCTGAGCAGCGGCCTGATTCTCTTAGCAGAACGGTACTGGAACTCACCCAGGGGAAATTATTTTCCTGGGGCCTAAATTTAGTGCAGGGAGGTTGAACATTATGTCATTCCCTGAACTCACTCAGCAGTAAACAAGTTCAAAGCAAGGTCAACAGCTGGTGATCAACCGCCCTGTCCCACGGGCAGCTTTCACCTACCTGGGGAGACCGGAGGGGAGGGGCCTCGGGCAGCCCCGGGCAGTGGGCAGGTGGGCCTGGCCCGCTGTGGTGGTCCTGCCTGAGCAATGCTAGGCGACTGTGCAGGCCCAGTGGCCTGGGGTGGCCGGAAGAGGACCCTGGTGTGGTTCCCACGTGGACCTGGTAAAGCTTGTGGCACTGTTGTGGGTGGGCATGGCAGTTACCAAAATGTGGCAGTTATGAAAGGAAGCCTTAACCCAAGATACAATTCCTGCAACTGGCCCTTTAAAAGGAGATGCAGGCCCTGGCCAGGTAGCTCCATTGATTAGAGAAAGCGGGACCGGGGAAAGAGGCGACACCTGGTCCTGCACAGCCCTGTCCCTAGCGTGCCGGGGTCACCCACCCCCACACGGCTGACCAGGCCCCTCCCCTCTCGATCACTTTCCTGCAGTGACCTGACGAGAGAGGCAACTTTTATTTGTCTCATTTTATAAAAAGGAAACAGGAAGGTGTGCAGGAGTTGACGCTGGCCGCCCAAGGCCACACAGCTGGTAAATGCCAGCCCAGATGTGACCACTGCGTCCTGCGTCCACAACGCCCCAGCTCATGTGGCGGATGCAGACGAGGAGCTGTGACTCACCGCCCAGCACTCAGAGAGGAGGGACCGCACAGCACCGGCCCCGGAAAGAGCAAATTTTAAAAAGTACGGTTTCTATTGAATGCATATGGCTTTCCTATCATCGAAAAGTCAAAAAAACTAAGTGAAACCACTGTAAGTCAGGGACTGTCTGTATGTGAAAATTGTCTTTTAAAGGGGGTCCAGAGACCTGANCCCAGATCGTAGGCGTAGAAATGACGAAGGCGGCTGGTTGCCTGGAGAGTCCTGGTGACCCTTCGCCTGGCCTGAGCGCTCAGTGTGGGAACTGGCCTTGGAGCTCGGGGAGCTTTCAAGGGCTCTGAGCAGCGGCCTGATTCTCTTAGCAGAACGGTACTGGAACTCACCCAGGGGAAATTATTTTCCTGGGGCCTAAATTTAGTGCAGGGAGGTTGAACATTATGTCATTCCCTGAACTCACTCAGCAGTAAACAAGTTCAAAGCAAGGTCAACAGCTGGTGATCAACCGCCCTGTCCCACGGGCAGCTTTCACCTACCTGGGGAGACCGGAGGGGAGGGGCCTCGGGCAGCCCCGGGCAGTGGGCAGGTGGGCCTGGCCCGCTGTGGTGGTCCTGCCTGAGCAATGCTAGGCGACTGTGCAGGCCCAGTGGCCTGGGGTGGCCGGAAGAGGACCCTGGTGTGGTTCCCACGTGGACCTGGTAAAGCTTGTGGCACTGTTGTGGGTGGGCATGGCAGTTACCAAAATGTGGCAGTTATGAAAGGAAGCCTTAACCCAAGATACAATTCCTGCAACTGGCCCTTTAAAAGGAGATGCAGGCCCTGGCCAGGTAGCTCCATTGATTAGAGAAAGCGGGACCGGGGAAAGAGGCGACACCTGGTCCTGCACAGCCCTGTCCCTAGCGTGCCGGGGTCACCCACCCCCACACGGCTGACCAGGCCCCTCCCCTCTCGATCACTTTCCTGCAGTGACCTGACGAGAGAGGCAACTTTTATTTGTCTCATTTTATAAAAAGGAAACAGGAAGGTGTGCAGGAGTTGACGCTGGCCGCCCAAGGCCACACAGCTGGTAAATGCCAGCCCAGATGTGACCACTGCGTCCTGCGTCCACAACGCCCCAGCTCATGTGGCGGATGCAGACGAGGAGCTGTGACTCACCGCCCAGCACTCAGAGAGGAGGGACCGCACAGCACCGGCCCCGGAAAGAGCAAATTTTAAAAAGTACGGTTTCTATTGAATGCATATGGCTTTCCTATCATCGAAAAGTCAAAAAAACTAAGTGAAACCACTGTAAGTCAGGGACTGTCTGTATGTGAAAATTGTCTTTTAAAGGGGGTCCAGAGACCTGAAAATAAACAAAACGCATACACGGGTGTACACACACACACACACACACACACGCACACGGCCAGACCACTTCCCACTGCTTCCTCCACTCCCACCCCGGTGCAGCAGCGCCCCAACGGTCTCCTGCCTCCATCTGCCCTTGCCAACCCCTCCTCCCTCATCTGTTTTCAATCACGGCAACCAAAGAGATCCTTCAGATCACAGCATTCAAGCTCCCAATGGCTTCTGGCTCACTCAGCCATAAAACTCAGGGTCTGCTAAGTGGCCTTCTGAACCCCACACACTCCAGGCCCTGCCTCCTCTCCAACCTCACCTCACTGTCCAAGCCCCAAGCCCTGCCCACTCTCCTCCAGCCACACTGAGCACGCTCCTGCCTCAGGACCTTTGCATGGGTTCCCTCTGCTCGCAGTGCTCTTCCCAGTTACCCAGGCAGCTTGCTCCCTCGCCTAATTTGCTCCGTGAGGCTTTCCCTGATGAACCTATTTAAAAATCACACACACCCCCCATAATGGGGCAAGACTCCCCATTCCCCTTTCTTACTTTATAATTCTCTAGAGCACTTATGTTCCAAATACTAGGTTGTGTGGTTTTTAAATTGCTCCCCAAGAATATGAGCCCCAGGCATTACCTTTCTTCTGGGGCCAGCACATGGCAGGGCCTCCTTAAAGACCTGGGAACACCTGCACAGAAGGCCAGACAGAGAGGGGCCCGTACCTTCGGCCCCGGGGAGCTCCTTCCCCTCAGCCTGAGCCTCATCAGCCTTGCTGCTGGCGCCGTCGCAGGACACAGACGAGTTGGGCTCCGGCGCAGGGCTCGAGTTGCTGCTGTTCTCCTGTTTGATGGGGGAGGCGTCTGCTATGGAGCTCTGGTTGCTGTTGTCATCTGGGGGGGGAGAACCACAGGTGAAATCCCCAGGCTGCTGGGGAAAGGCGGGTAGGAGGGAACACCAGGGGGTTACCCGGAACGGACTGTCTTGCTCTGGCCGGTTACATGGGGACGTGTAGTTTGTGGACACTGCATGGAGCTATATGCTTAGGATCTGTGCCCTTCCTCTCGGATAAAAAGGTATAAAGAGAAATAAATGCCAGCGATGTCAAGACAACGGCAGACTGGCTAAAACACATCTCCAGCCTGGAAATGCTCAGTGGGACACTGGTGACAACTTTTGAAATAAGACAACAGCCCAGCTGGGCGTGGCTCAGCGGTTGAGCACCGACCTAGGATCCAGGAGATCGCGGTTCGATTCCCGGTCAGGGCACATGCCTGGGTTTCGGGCTCGATCCTCAGTCGGGGGTGTGCAGGAGGCAGCCAATCAATGACTTTCGTCACTGATGTTTTTATCTCTCTCCCTCTCCTTTCCTCTCTCTGAAATCAATAAAGACATATTTTTTTTTAAAAAAAAGACAACAAAGAAAGGTAGGCTTCATGTGGATCAACATGAAGTTGGAAACTCAGGTTGGAGCTTCCTGGCAGCCAGAGCAAAATAGGACATGGAACATAGAGTCATTTGTATAGTATGTCAGGCCCAGGAGGGGAAAACGCACGTCTCCTGTGGGATTTTTTTTGTCACTGGGGGTGAAGGTCTTATTTTATGTTTCCCGGCTTGCTGGGCTGGGAAAGAAAGTCGCTCCTTCGCAGAGCCTTGGCCTTGGCACAGAGGCCCAGTCCTGCCCGGTCCTCCTACCCCTGGCCTGGAATGTGAACGAACCTGCTGGTGAAACAAAGCGAGGCTGAGTGTCCTGCCCGGGCCCAGGGACCTGGCAGGAGGGGCCGGGAGGCCGGGGAGCTCACCGTGCATGTCCATCATGCCCGGGGAGGAGCTGTTCTCGGGCGTGGTCACCTCCGAGCCACACTTCTCACCTTTGCCTTTCTTCTTGCTCTTGTTTTTCTGTAGGAGAAAATTGGGGCAGAAACCGCGTCACCAGACCCCGTGCGCCCGAGCAGGCGCGAGACCCCTGAGGGTGGCAGGAGTCGTTTATTGCGCTGACTCATCCTGGAGCCTCCCAGTCCCTAGAGGGCGCTGGTCGGCCTGCGTTTCAACACGTCCCTTTGGGGGCCTCACCTGCTGGGAAGCAGGAGCGAGGCTCGGGGCTGGGGATAAACCCCCAGGGTTTGTGGGGCCAGCACCAGCCGGCATGCAAACACCTGGCTGGGGGGTCTCCTCCTTCAGGGAGAGCCCCTGGGGAAAAGGCTGCCGTCACCCCCCAGAGCAGGTGGAGGGACACAGTTCACACGCTCCCGCAGCGCTGGGGCCCCAGGCGGCCACGGAGCAAGGCGGGGAGGGTGGGGGGCAAGGGGATGCTTCTCGCCCGGGGTTCCATTTTTTTACGACGGGAAGAGAGCAGTGTTAGAAGCACCCTGGGCCCGTCGGTAAGAGACTCGTTAAATTAATTACGGTGCATTCGTTCAGCGTAACCTGATGCGACAACTACAGAGAATAAGGCAGCTCTTCATTTAATAGCGGGGAGTGAGCTGCAAAAATGTCAACACTGAACATGTTTCAGTCCCTCCAAGATGTTTCTAGAGAGGGCAGGGAATGGAAGGCTGCCATGAGCGGTGACGGAAGGACAGATGAACGTGTTGTGGGCACCCGGGGTGCCTCCCAGGACGGGAGCTGAGTGGGGAGGGGCATGTGCAGGGATGGGAGACAATTTATAAGAAGATATATAGTAAAGCCCTGGCCGGGTGGCTCAGTTGGTTGGGGCACCATCCCAGGCACCGGAAGGTTTCGGGTTCGATTCCTGGTCAGGGCACTTGCCCAGGTTGCCGGTTTGACCCCCGTTGGGGTGTGTACGAGAAGCAGCCGACCAAAGTTTCTCTCTCTTTCTCTTTAAAGTCAATAAAAAAATATATCCTCCGTTGAGGGTTTAAAAAAAAAGATACGCAGACACCTCAGGACCTGGGTATTATTGCTTCATTGCTCGAAAGAGTGAGCTAAGGCCCAGCGAGGTGGGGTCACCTGTCCAGCGTCACAGGATCGTCCAGGGTGCTCTTTGCCCAGCCAGGCACTGCCCGGTCCTTCCCGAGAGCCCGTATATTATGTTTGCTCCTTGATCGCCATCCACTTGGCACTTCCCCGATGCTATTCTATAATTATCCTCCCCCGACGAGATTATAAATTCCTTGAGAGCGGGGACCACGGCTTCTCAAATGCAGCCGCGTTTCTACAACACCTAACGACGTGAGCGGCGGCCAGCAGCCAGACCAGAGCCGCCTTGAGGAGCCCGGTCACGCTCTCCCCTCCGGAAGGGCCATCAGTGAATGCCGCGACGGTCTCGGTCTCGGGGCCCCCGCGGAAGGCAGCTCGGGTGGCTCCACGAGCCCAGGTCAGAACCAGAAGGACCGACAAATGCCCACGGTCTCAGCCCAGCGTCCCTCTGCAGGGGGCGAGCATGTGATCACAGGGTCAAGAATGGAGCCTCAGGCCCAGCCAGTGTGGCCCAGTGGTTGAGCCTCAACCCATGAACCAAGAGGTCACCAGTTCGATTCCTGGTCAGGGCACACGCCCAGGTGGTGGGCTCGATCCCCAGTCGGGGGTGTGCAGGAGGCAGCCAATCAAGGTTTCTCTCTCATCGATGTTTCTATCTCTATCCCTGTCCCTTCCTCTCTCTCTCTAAAATCAATAAAAACATTTTTTTAAAAAAAAAAAAAAGGAATGGAGCCTCAGCCCTGCCTGGAGACCCAAGACTGGTAACAGAAGACAGAGGCTTGACCCCCGCCTTTATGGCCCCCCTAGAAACCTGCCAATCATGGCCCTGTCATCCCCAGGAGCAAACGAAATCATGCCGCTCAGCTTGAACCATCTCCCTGGAGGAGGGGACTGTTCACGGGAACAGGAAAGGCAATCCGGGCGGGGGGAACAGCCCATGCAAAGGCCTGGAGGTGGGACTGCTCAGGACTTTGCCTGGAAATGAGAGCAGCTGACCTGGGGTCTTCGGGAGTAACTGGCCGGGGAGCCTCTAAGCTGGTGCTCCCCCTACTGGTCACAGTCACCACCCCTGCACAAAACTCACTCTGGGGTGAAAACCAAAAGGTTCCGAAACAAGAGAGGACAGAGCATGTGCTCTGGAGTCAGACACAGTTGCCCCTTACTGTGTGACTCTGGGGCAATGGCTTCACCTCTCTGAGCCTGTGTCCTCAGTTGTACAGGAAAGATAGAGATCAACCCCCCAGACTCGGGGTAAGAGATAAATGAGGTGATCCTCGGCACAGAGTCAGGTGCTCCGGAGCAGGGCTACAATGATGGGGGTATCTGCCTGTCTGTGGGTACCACTCTGGCAGCCCCAAACCATGGTGCTCAGGGCCCCGGGGATGGGGTACCTCTGCACTAAGGTGTGTCCCCACTGGCAAACCCTGGGGCTCTCGGCCCAAGAGATGACACGCAGGGGACACTCCAAGGGGAGGGGCCCCTCATACTCACATCATCAACCTTTGGCTCCGTCACAGGGACCCACTTGTAGATTCGCAGGGATGTGTCCCCCACAGTCACCCATTTCTTCTCCCTGCAAATAAGGAACAGCCTGTTATCAGGGGCTTCAGGAGCCGGGCCCTGTTCACCTCTTGTGGGGGCAGCTGTGATGTGGTGGCCGCTGGGGATTAAGAGGACAAGCTCTAGGTCCTCACACAGATGTGGCTCGAATCCCACCTCTGCTGCTCACTGGGCCCCTGGGCAAGTCCCTCCCCCCACCTGAGCCTCAGCGTCCCCATCTGCTGGACCACGTCTGGATGGCAATCTCTCCAGGCTGCTGTGAGGATCACCTAAGACAATGCATGTTGGAGTCTTCCAGTGCCTAGGAGGAGGTGCTGGTAAGACTGGGGGGCGGGAGACGGGTTGCGATTAGGAGGCAGGATGGACCATCCAGAATCCCAGCCTTTCCCCACCTCCATTCTGAATAGGCAGAGGTGCCAGGAAGGGACAGGGGCGTTCCGAGAAACAGTCCCAGAGACAAAGCAACTATCATAATAGCCATTGTGTGCCGAGGCTTCGTGCCAAGCGTTTATTTACATGTCCTCCCTTCCCCAGAGATGGCCAACAGGCCTACGAGAGGGGGACTCCTGTCACCCCACTTTATAGACGGGGAAATGGGAGGACTGGAGAGACTATAGCGCTAGTTCATGGTCACATAGTCAGTGGCAGAACCTGGACTAGACACAGGCTCGGACCCCACAGCCCACCTTCTGCTACTCTGTCCCATGAAAATGAAAAATCTATTCCACAAGCACATCAGCAACAGACGCCGGACAGGAGTGCCCACTGCTGGAAGCCTGCGCGAGTGACCAAAGGCACGCACTACTCACAAGCCCTCAGCTGGCTGCCTGGGCCTGGGCTCCAGGAGGTCAGCAAATCCATGGTTTGATTGTGTTAAAAAAAAAAAAAAAAAGGCAACTAACTTGTAATACACAAGACACCTTTCAGGGCACAAAGTGGGTGTGCAGGCCGCAGGTGGGTCAGGATGAGCGTTTGCAGTTGCAGGGGCTTCTGGAGAGGCTGCAGGGCCTGCAGGTTACGAGCTCATCGCAGCCAGGTTGCCCCGTTGCCCCAGCTCACCGGGCTTCATTCGCATTTCTAGGTGTGGACACCGAAGGGCTACTGGGCAGAGGGTCGCAAGTTAAGAACCTGACCTCAGGCCTGCCGTTCGGCCAGCAGTCACCCAGGTGGAGACAGGGCCCCGGAGCTCAGGGGTAAGTCACTGAGTGAGCACCAGAAGGGATGGCGCAGACATGTCACGTGAGCTCTGGGGGTCTTATCAAGCTGGCGGCTTGGCAGCGCCTTGGTAAACACCACCCACATGGGCTCAGAGGAGCAGCAGAGCTCCCATTGCCGCCCTCAAAGCCGTGCCCAGGGCACACAGCCCCCGCCCCCAACGAGGGTACTAAGCTGTAGTTATTACCTTACATCTCAGGTGGCAAACAAGTGGCCAACAAGCACATTTTGTCTGGCCTGCATGGTACTTTAAAAAATTTGAATCAATTGCCAAACTTTACAAAAAGAAGGAAAGAAAAAAAAGTCAGACAACATACAAATCCAGATTCCTGGCTACTCTCAAAAATACGATCTGACCACAAAAGGCCCATGGACTCCCCCACCCCAGGATCTGAGCTCCCTCAGCTCCACCAGCTCTCCCCACCTGTAGACACTGGGCCCGGATTCACCAGGAGCACCAGGCCACACCCAAACCTTGCCAGGAAGCCACCTGTGGGTGCACTGAGCCCACTTGCCTTGATGGCCCCCAGTAACCAGCCGGGCTTAAGGATCTCTCTCTTCCCCCATCAGACTGGGGCTCCTGGATGAAAAGACTAAATGAGGTCCTAGCTATAGAAACTAGCTATAGAAAGAGAGCCCCAAATGCCCCTCTTCAGCACAGACTCCTATATAAGCTACAAGTACCCATCCCAGATTCTCCAGGTCAATACCAATTTCCAATGTTTGTCCAGGTCCAAGGGCGAGACCATCTAGGGGTCACGTGGCTCCCTCCAAGAGAGCGCTAAGTCCCTCACTCTGTCCATTTCCCAGGGCTAGTCCTTGATGCCTTGGGAGGCCTGACTGATGGCTGGCCTTAGCCTAACTAGGCCGAGACCCACTCCACCTGCCCCTTGTCTGGCAGGAGCATGCCCCCTGGGGTACTGAGGTGAGGCCCTAGGCACAAACCTCCCCCTCCCACAGGGACAGGTGGGAAGTCCTCGGGAACAGGCCCCTCTCTCTAACCACAAGTCACTGAGGGGCCCTGCAGACCAAAGGCCCGGGGGTCCCCAGCCTAAGCCTACTTCTCAGCTCAGGCCTTTGCCTCCTGCCCAAGGACTCCCCTTCCCCTTCTCTTCACCGCCCACACAGGGCCTCCTAACCCTGGTCCAATTTCCCGAAAAGGGGTCCACCAGTTTGTCCTTCCCTAAGCCATCTTCTGGCTGCCTCACACTCTACCCGCCTGCCCTGCTGGGACACCAGACAGAAAGGACCGAAATGTCAGGGCTGTCTGCTGGCTTCTTCCAGGGGCAGGAGAAGGACAGGGCTGGCAGAGGGGGGATGGTTTGGGTTGCTGGGGGTAGGGAGAAATACCACCCTAGGCATCCACGCTGAACGGTATGCCAGATACCTCCACTATCCTCTGGGTAAAAGACAGAACGCTGAAAATGAAATTTGAACGTCAGATGAACAATTGTTTTAGTACAAGTATGTCTCAAATAGTACATGGGACATACTTATGGTTTAGAGAAGTATTTCTAAAAATTATTCTGTTGTTTACCTGAAATTCAAATTCAACTCAGTGTCCTGTGAGTTTATTTGCTAAATCTGGCAACCCAGCCACCCAGCCAGCGGTGACTGCATGGTAGGTGGCCACGCAGTTAATAAACAACCCAAAGTCTGGAGAACAGACTGGAGAGCCCATCCTAAAGGCACAGTGAAGGGGAAGACTTGGTTTCTCCAGGCTGGGGAAACCCAACACATAAGGCGAAGTCATTTATTTTTATTTTTTCTTAGAAGGGGTAGGGAAAAAAAGAAAGAAAAAAACAAACAAACAGGAAAATATAAGTTTCCACAGCATCTTCCTTACCATAAAAACAACCCTTACCCGCCGCTCCTGTGTGCCGGGATAAGTGCTAGTAGAGACATGATCTTACTCTGAGGGGCAGGGGGTAGAAAGAAGCACAAGACGACCCCCCCGCCCTTGAGGCCATGGTTAGAGAAGTTACATGGTTTGTCCAAGGTCAAGGGCAAGGAAGTGAACTGGATGCCTGGCCCCAAGATCCCAAAGCTTGAGGTCTTTAGAGGACGTGACAAGTTGTTTCCCAAAACAGAGGGAGGGAGGGAGATCTGTCTTCCTCCCCTCCCCACGGAACACAGGCCTGGCCTGCAGCGGGGCCCGCAGGGTGGAAAACCCCATGTAGCTCCATCTGCCCTCCCTGCGGAGCAGCTGGCAGGCGGGCCTTACAGGAGCAGCTGTCAGGGTGCAGGGCCTCTGCCCCCGCTGGGAACCCGGGGCACAAGGCCCTACGGCACCTCCTGGAACAGAGAACAGCGGGGCAGCTTGCCCCCCAGCCCCTTTCTCACCTCCAGGCCAGCGACCGGAGGGACTCAGGCCCAGACCCCCGGTTTCTCTGCCCAGGCCTTAAGGGGGGGACCAACTCCAGCCTTCCCTCTGGGAATCCCACAGGGGCAGGGGCTGTGTGGGCTTGTTGTTGTGTGTATGTGTGTGTGTGTGTGTGTTTTAGCCTGCAGCTGTTTCTACCATTTTTAAATGGCTCCAGTCGGGCAGGGGGGGTGCCCTGCGCACTAGGGGAGCTCCCACGGGCACCGAGGACTTGGATCTCAACTTTGGAAAGCCTGCCCTTCTCACGGTTCTGCAAATTCTTTGTCCCATTGGAGCCAAACCCAGCCCTCGGCCGGGCATCCGGCCATCTGCAGACAGCCCTTTCCATAGGAGGCCCGCGAGCACGTGGACTTTATTGATTTTCCTCTCGCCTTTTTTGTTGGGCTCGACTCAGAAAGGACAGCTAACTTGCGACACCCGGCTAGACTGGATCCTCGCCCCCTGTGGCTTTTAGAGACCAAGAAATGACGCCCCTAAACATAAACACAGCCCG